ACAGGAAGTATATTTATAAACAAGGACTGCATAGTTAAAGGACAGAATTATAAAAAATTACAGTAAAGAAATGATGCAGGTCACATTTTGTAAAAGTGCTTTGTATTTGGTTTGGTGTTTTGGTTGTGCACTTTTGCTTTTTGGGTTTGTTGGTTTTTGGGTTTAAGACACGCTGGAACTATTACTTTGAACCAAGCACAACATCTCTCATTTATTAATACTCAGCTGTTTGTATGTCACCACTTCAGAGCAACTGGTTATTCCTAGCCTTGAGAAAAACAGGTCTTCTCACGCAAGTTTTTTCTCTGCAATCTTAACTAGCGAGGGATTACATACAAACATGCATGTCTGTTCTAAGCAACTGGGACTCTACATGGTGTCTTATTTCCACAGATGTCAGTAGATTTGACACAAATTTTTTTTTTTAAACTACATTATTGATTTATGTGGAAAACCAGCATGCAGTATTACCACAGTACTTCACTGTTAACTGCAGATCTAGTAGTAAAAAATTACAATGTTCACTCAAGAAGTTCTTAGAAATGTTATCAGGTACCAGGCCAAAGTTTTGTGATACTATTTGTCTTATACAGGGTATCATGTTTTGGAGTCTTACATCACCGCCCAAATAATCTTTAGGATAGTAGAAAGGAGGAATGCTGAGCAGGCATGAAGAGTAAAAATCACCTGAAGAAGTTTGAAGTGGGGAAACGGTAAGTGTGTCATACTGAATAGCTGATATGTCTGTAAAAGGCATGAATGTACAGTTATTTTGAATGTGGAAATGTTAGTCACTTTCACAGCCTTCATCACGGTGCTGTGCACGAATATGCAGAAGTTCAAGCAAACTACTTCATCACAAGAGTATTACTTTATTAAAATAAACTAACTTTGGTGAAAATGCATAGATAAATACTACCTGACAGCTTCCTAACTACATGGCTCAGATATTTGGTATTACAGAACTGCAAAAGCAAGGCTAACTAACTGTAGCTGGAAAGGCATTTTCATTTCCCTGCCCCAAGAAGCCCTCACACTGCAAGCTGCTGGACTGTATCCTAACAGGGAAAACATAATGCATTTGCCCTGGTTTTAGGCTCTCAATACCACCACTAGCAACTGCTGAAAACAGGACTGGGGGAAACAGAGCTTACTGACCCCAATGTCTTCTTGTGGCCTCATATTTTCAGCTAGTCATGGGTAATAAAAGAATCCGGTGCTCTGTGCACCCTTAAACTTTTTTCCTCAAACAGGCAAAAAATACCATTCCTCTTCCAGTATAGCAGCAAAGGAAAACCTTCCAGAACATCTCAACATCTAAGACGCTGAGTTTTAGTTCCTAACAGCACCAGGGTTTCAACATGCACTGTTAAGAACGTGAATCTAATTTTCCAAGAAATTACATGCTTCTGACAGAATTTTAGTTTTGGAAGATTGGAAACAATGTACTGTAGCTAATTCCTGACCTTCTTGGAGAACAGAAACATTTATTTATTTACTTATTTGGACAAAACTCACGTAAGGAAAAACCAGCTGCCAATTGCAAGAAGACTAAATACTCTGAAGAGCTGCAAAGAAGATATTCAACAAATTGTCTGATTATAAACTTCTTCCCAAAAAACCCAAAGTAAATTCACAATTTCTAATGTCCTATTTCTCCCCTCTGAGCCAAGTCTAACTTAAATGTGTCTCTGACATTTATGAAGTCCTGAGGAATTTACTGCAGTTTGTATTTATCAGCAAACCTCCAAACCCAAAAAGAAACCACATCAGCTCCTAGCCCTGCACGGGACGCAGCAGCTCATCTCTTTAGCGCACAGACTGCTAGCAGCACACTTCAGTGGTAAACCACATTGTCAACTGAAAAGTCAGTTTAGCTGAAGTTTCAAGGCCAAGTTAATGCTGGATTTCAAGAAGCCTTCTTGTAACAGCTAGAGAGTTATTTTCTGCACTTCTGCCACAGAGATACCTATACATTAGCGGGTACTAAGTACTAAGTCACTAAGTATTGCCTTCTAGTAACTTGACCCAGAACCTGACATTGAAAAAGTTGCCACAGAGTCTCACTACACTTGAACACCATGCATAAACAAAACACAGCCAGCTAACAAATACCAAACCCTTTCTAGCTGGGCTTTCTCTTACATTGTAACTATGAAAGTCAACTGCTCGATTTGACTTTTCCTAAAATTATCAAACCCCTGCTATCCAATCTGTTACCTTCCTCTGAGCAAAGAAGGGAAAAATAGGTATTGCCTTTAAATCCTTGGAAACTGAGTATGTACCATTGTGGTCAATATCTGATATCTGCAGGAATGGAAGCAGTCCAGAAACTGCTGTACAAACTAACTTTATCTCGTGGCACTGAGAAATAGAAGGACAAAAATAATATGGAACTGGTTTTCCTTTAAAACCACCTGCCATAACATGCTAACAATTCTGATAATCCTATAAAAATACCCTCTAAAAAAAAAGACACAGTTTTGTATAAATGGACCAACCTGTGTCTGCAAAGCATCCCTTTTTTTTTTTTGAACGAAGCTTCATTCAGACTTACTGTAAACATTTCCTACAAATAGAAAATACTTATCACATCTTGAGAAAAGGGGAATAAATGGATTACTTGCCTTGCAACAGATATGTTTTTTAATATAAAAAATAAAATCCTTATCCTTCAGTTTTCAAAACTACAATCTCTGTGCTGCAAAATTCAGAGGGCTGTCACATAACAATAAATGACAGCTTGCCACACTATTTTTCTGTTGTCTGGAGATGTACTTTTAGAGGGAAATGATTTCATGTATTTCCTGAGTTATCTCATAAAAAGGGGAAAAACGGTAGTATTTTCAACCTGCTATAATACATGTTTGGAAGAAGTGTTGTTGATTTCTATTTTAACATCATATTGTTTTAAGAATTAAGATTACAATGCTCTGAAGAAACAGGTTCTTGGATTTTGAAAACATTTTCTGAAGAATTCGTGCAACCACCCATTAGACACTTATTTTTTCCAGTAATGATCAGCCAGCATGCAAACATATTCTGGAGTTATCCAGAATGTGACATGGTTAAACAGTGTAACTAAGTGATCCAAGTAAATGCATCTACACTCCACAGGGTTTTTTACTCAGAGGACTTATGCCACAAAGGAAAAAAATCTCTTGCTAATTCACTGAAATCTAAAAAGTGATGATCCTGGAAGTGTCCAAAGGAGGACTATCAAGATTGTTGAAGCAAGTCCAGAGGAGGCCACAAAGTTGATAAGAGGACTGGAGCATCTCCCCTATGAAGACAGACTGAGGAAGTTGGGGCTGTTCAGCCTGGAAAAGAGAAGGTTGCATGGAGACCTCATAGCAACTTTTCACTATCTGAAGAGGCTACAAGGGAGCTAGAGAGGGACTCTGTGTTAGGAACTGCAATGATAGGATAGGACAAGGGGGGTTCAAATTGAAGGATGGGAAGTTGAGGTTAGATACCAGAAAAGCTTTTTCCTGTGAGGGTGGTGAGACACTGGAACAGGTTGCCCAGGGAAGTGGTGGCTGCCCCAACCCTGGCAGTGTTCAAAGCCAGGCTGGATGAGGCATTGAGCAACTTGGTCTAGTGAGGAGGTATCCCTGTCCATGGCAAGGGGTTGGGACTAGATGATCTGTAATGTTGGGAAGTTGAGGTTAGATACCAGAAAAGCTTTTTCCTGTGAGGGTGGTGAGACACTGGAACAGGTTGCCCAGGGAAGTGGTGGCTGCCCCAACCCTGGCAGTGTTCAAAGCCAGGCTGGATGAGGCATTGAGCAACTTGGTCTAGTGAGGAGGTATCCCTGTCCATGGCAAGGGGTTGGGACTAGATGATCTGTAATGTCCATTCCTTAAATTCCCTAAAATTCTATGATTCTATGATGAAGGGTCTGGCAGAGAATCCAAATGAGGAGAGGCTGAGGTCACTTGGCCTGTGACACTTCTCCAAAGAAGTCTCCTCTTCTCCACAGCCTGGAGAAGGGGAGACTGAGGGGAGGCCGCATCATGGTATACACCTTCGTCACAAGGGGAAGTGGAGGGGCAGGTACTGATCTCCACTCTGGTGACCAGGGACAGGACACCTGGGAATAGCCTGAAGTTGTGCCAGGGGAGGTTTAGGGTAGATATTTGGAAAAGATTCCTCACTCACAGAGTGGGTGGGCACTGAACAGGCTCCCCAGGGAAGTGACCACCACACCAAGCCTGACGGAGTTCAAGACGCAGTTGGACAATGTTCTCAGACACATGGTGTGAGTCTTGGGGCCAGTCCTGTGCAGGGACAGGAGCTGAATCTCAATGATCCTTGTGGGTCTCTTCCAGCTTGGGATATACTATGATTCCAATAACATATTTCTAGTTGCAGAAAAGACTAACTGGATCTTTCACAGAATAGTTAGGGTTGGAAGGAACCTCTGGAGACCATCTGGTCCAACCCCTCTGCCAAGGTAGGGTAACCTAGAGCAGGTTACACAGGAACATGTCCAGGGGTTCTGAATGCCTCGAGAGGAAGACTCCACAACCTCCCTGGGCAGCCTGTTCCAGTGCTCTGCCACCCTCAATGTAAAGAAGTTCTTCCTCATTTTGAGGTGGAGCTTCTTGTGTTTTACTTTATGGCCACTGCACATCTCTATCTAGTGAAGGACTTCTTAAGCATTATGTTCATTGAATTAATTTTGAATAGGATTTGAAACAGAAGGGAAGATTAATACAGCTGCTGTTTTACAGTCAATGAATTGTGATTTCCATACAGTACTGTTAAAAAACACAGCGCTATTTCAAATAAGAAAACATGAGTTATATCACATTTAAAAACACTTCTGAAAGTGGTTATTATGAAATTTCCCCACACTTTTTGATGCCATTTTTCAGGCACTGCTTTCAGCTGTGTACTGGTTCCACTGGTTGGATCAGAAGTACAGCTTGTACGTGTTCACATTTTAACCCAAACTTTCCATGATCTTCAGTGATGCTGTTCTTGCTGAGTTCTGATTAAATGCTTCCATTATCCTGGTTGGTTGGCCTGTAACCAATTACACGCTGTTCTTCACCAACATCTACCAACACATGGGGCCTGTCATAGCCAGAAAACTTGGCACAGCTGCTTGCAATGACCGTTTGCTGTATTTCTGTGGCAGAAACCTTTGTACCTGAAGAGTTATTGCATATATCCATTTGGTTGCCGTCAGACATGAAATAATTCTCTTTTACTTTGGAATTTGGTTCATCAGCACCATAAGATACCTCCTCTGTGTTTTCCTGCACGGACACCTCTTCTGCTTTGGCTGGTGCCTCTGGGGCAGGAACAGAAGATTCTCCTGCAATGGCATTCTCAGGACTAACAGTTTCTTCTGGCTCTACGTCCAGCAAGGTTACTTCACTATTTGCTGGCAGTGATGACTGGCTTGATGCGAAGGTTATTACAGACAGATACTTTCCCTCCGATTTTGGTCCGAGTAAGGTGTCTGTGTTCAGGTTTCTCATCACACTGACCTTAAATAGGGGAAAAAAAATACAACAATTTAGAGGTTAAAAAAACATACAAGTGAAAATACAGAATTAACAATGTTATAACCAATCCCAAAACAAATTTGCAAAATTAGAATCTGGCACAGTCCTTAGCCTGTATCCATGACTTCATTTGTTTCATTAACACTTCTATGTGACTTCTCAAAAATGCTTCCTCTGTACAAACACATTTGAAAGGACCAAATCCATTTCATGTCATTTTAAGTTTCCAATGTAGAGGAAAACAGCAAAGGAAGAAAAAGACTTAATACTCTTCAAGTAGCTGGGGAAACCTTTCGTAGCCTATAGCTTATGAGTCTAACTTACAATGACTGTAATAATTTCTGGCAGACAAGTGAACTTTGGAAAGATATCTTTAAAATGAAACGAGAACCTTTATGCATACCTGATACTGAGCCCCTCAAGATTTGAATCAAACTTTAGTTGTTAATGAGCATCTATAGCTAGACAGTTTTGATTAAGCAATTGCATTGGAAACACTGCATGCTTGGAAAGGCAATTCTGGCAGTGGGAGATCATGACCACCAGCTCATTGGCCACCTACTCAAAACAGACCCAACTCAAATGGTGAGATGAACTGTACATGTGGACTAATCAGCATGAGAATTGAGAGATATAACTAGCAAATACAGGTTTGAGCATTAATTAATAAAGACCTAGCATTTTGTGGGTTACCACCCACTCTCTACTTTGTGCAAACTAGAATAAAAATCTGAAATCCCAGTCTATGAATTGGCGCTGCACACTAGGTAATGAGCCTGATTTCAGGACAACATACCCAGCAGTCACATCTATGCTGAAGTCTTCCTAGCTTTTTCACTTGTGTCACTGAGCATTCCCTCAATACTGCAACAAACTTCAACATTTCCCTCTGAAATCCCTCCACAGGAAGATCACGTGAATTCCTTCAATGGCCAGGCTCCAGCCTGATTTCAGAGAATCACAGAATTCAAGGGTTGAAATGGACCTTACAGATCATCTAGTCTCAACCCCTCCTGCCATGGGCAGGGACACCTCCTCTATGAGCCACTGACCACAACTCCCTCCCTGCGTGTGACCATCCAGCCAGTTCTTTACCCACTGAGTGCTCCACCCATCAAATCCATGTCTCTCCAATTTAAAGACAAGAATGTCATGCAGGACAGCGTCAAACGCCTTGCGTAAGTCCAGGTAGATGACATCAGTTGCTCTGCCCCTATCTACAAATTCTGTGGCCCCATCACAGAAGGCCACCAAATTCATCAGGCATGACTTGCCCCTGGTAAAGCCATGTTGGTTATTACCAATCACCTCTTTACTTTTCATGTGCCTAAGCATAGCTTCCAGGAGAATCTGCTCCATGATCTTGCCAGGCACAGAGGTGAGACTGACTCGATGATAGTTCCCTGGTTCTTCTGCATTCCTTTTTTGAAAATGGGGGTTATGTTTCCCTTTTTCCAGTCGCTGGGGACTTCCCTTGACTGCCAGGATTTCTGGAAAATTATAGATAGTGGCTTAGCAACTTCATCAGCCAGTTCCCTCAGGACCCATGGATGAATCTCATCAGGACCCATGGACACTCCTATTCCCATCCATGAAAGAAGGAAGCAATCAGGAGAAAAAAACTCTTATGTATTTCCCAGTACCAAAGGTCTTTAAAGAGTCACTGAGTCACAAATACAAGACAATTTAGCAATTCATGCAGCTGTTTCTAGCTTCAAAGATAAGAATCACAGTTTATTACACTAATTGGAATGCCATTCAAAGTATCTCACGTAACAAGGGTAATTAAGATACGGTTGTTATTTGAAGTACTTACCATAGAGAGGTTAATAGTTTTTTATTGTGCATGTTATCTAAACTAGGAAATTGGCAGTGAGTTTAAGATGGGCAGCATTTCCAGGCATGTGCATGTGCTCACATGCTGTCTCCAATGACTGAACCTGACCTTTCAGGTCATGCACTATCTCAACAGACTAGGGAGATACACTACTGAAAGCCAGGCTCAAGGATAGAGATAAATAACATATCCCAAGGAATCCACAGCAATTAAGGTAATTATTGAATTCTTTTTAACTTTCTTTTCTAAGGTCTTATCCACCTATGAATTCCCAGCAATTTTCAGGTACACAAGTTTGAGAACTCCATTTCAAACCTTATTAGGCCTGTGACAGAAATCTGTGTGGCCTTTGCATGGTTCCACAACACATTAATGCTGTGTAAATTTACAAATACAAGACTGTGTTACTGCCCTATGCTCACAGGGGAGAAAACCAAACATTTTCATGAAAGCTAATCAAGCAGCAGCTTCGCTCATGTAAGATGACAATTATTTGTGGCAAGTATCAGTCAAAATTGACAGGAACAATTACAGTTTCTCCAGATCAAAAATACATACTGTATGAATAAAAAAACAGCCACAAAGAAAATTCTCAAGTGTTCTGTGAATATCTGTAAGCATTCTACAAATACAGTGTGAGAACAAAGCCTTGCCCTTCCTGTCAGAATCAGAAACACCAGCAGGTAGCGGAAAAGTTGACTTAATTATGAGCTAAAAGTGAAAGTTAAGTCTTTCTCTTAGAGAGTAGATGTTTTCTACCCACTAAAATATTTGCTATCATTTACAGACAAAAGACACTGAAAACAGACCGTGAAGCTAAAGCAGAAGGAAATGCCCACAGAGTACCAGTAAATTAGGGTCAGGCTCCGCTGAAAGTGGATAAGCCCTATCATAAATCTTAGAACAAAAAACCAGTACAGGAATAACCACGTCCAGGGCAAGCTGCACAGACTGAGGATGTTGGGTGGGATGAGACAACCTCTTCTAACACTTTTTGTGAGATAAACGAAAGTAAGTTTTAAGTGCAGCTGGCCTGCTGAAACATCAGATTCCTGTGATCCTGGCAGAAGACTCGCATGAAGTCTTGTAAAGGAATCTGTCCCATTTCATTATATGCATATTCCTGGTAGGATCCTACTATTGATAAGGATGCTTAGAACATTTAAATGAACACATTCTCTAATGAAGACAATCATTCAATGCCCATACTGAACAACAGATGCACTGTGGATGTCGGACCAGTACATGACCAACATGCAATTCTTGAGAGTCACAAACAGCATAGAAAAAGACAATATAAAAGCTCTTGAGATCTAACTGGCAATGCTTTTTTTTTTTTCTTTTCCTTGGGTATATGAGACTTGCAAAGGCAGCTGTTTGATGGCTACTCATTCCTTACTTTTCCTTCTGTTGGTGAATTTCAGCTTGCTGGAAGTCACTCAAATGATGTTTTAACATCTACTTAAAGCTGCCAGGAAGCAGGTCACTGGAAGGCAGCGGCCCTAGAGGTAGGAAATCTTGCCTATCCTTTTAACAGATAGAAAAAGTCCCTGGACGTTTTATTTTCAGACAAGCTCAGGTAAAGCACAATGGTCATAACCTGTACAGAAAGAAATGCCTAGTACATATTCAAAGGTCAGTACAGGCTCTCAGCCCCAAGAAGTTTACAGAGATAATGTTGTATAATTAAACTTATTGTTCACATTAATTGTTCACATTACTTATTCATTTCTCTAAATTATTAACCATACAACAATTATTTCTAAGTTTTTAACTGTTCATTTTACATTCTCACATTATCCGTATCACCTGCAACAAAACTATTCTTGTGAGTTCTGAAATTTATGTTTATCATTAGAGACTTCAGTGGAAACAGACAGAATCACAGAATATCCAGACTTGAAAGGGATCTACAAGGATCAGAGTTCAACTCCCAAGTCCACTCAGGGCAACCTAGACATTAAACCATATATCTAAGAGCATGGTCTAAATGCTTCTTGAACAATGATGGGCTTTGGGCAGTGACCACTTCCCTGGGGAACTTGTCTCAGTACCTGACCACCCAGGTAACAATATTTATAAATAGTTATAGATTTCATTCACCTCCTTAGCAATGAAGCATGATGTAGAATGTGAACCAGCTGTGGTACACTGGAACCTAGGAATTGAAAGATAACACACAGCCCAGTAAACTGAGAATATGGGCACACAAATGAGTTTCTACAAGGTGACCTCAAGTGTCAACCTGGAACACATCAGAAAGCTCAGATGTTGAGGAACACACATTTTATCTGTGCAATGTTCTCCTTCCTGATCCTCCAGATGTGATGTTACAGTGGTATTGGGAAGCAAAAATACCTATGGATTCGTAGAACACATCACTGTCATTCTGGATCAACCAGCTTTTGTTATAATGAACAGTCTTCACAAAAATTACTGTTGTGTGTATGCAGGGCAATGTTATGTATTTGGACAATTACACACCGGTGTGAAGATGACAAAAAGCCTCCGGTGTCTCTGCAGGCCTGTGTTTTGATACTGGGGCCTAGCTGCAGATTCCATCAGACAGGTTTCTCTCATCTGACTTTAAGTTTACAGTGTGAATGGCTATTTCCAAACTCATGGCTCCATCACAGTCCATGGCAAAACTCAGGAATTTTAGAGAGCATTTTGTCTGACCAGAAGTACGTACTATTTCAGAACAAAATGAATCATCTTGTGCTGCACAAGTTGATGGACTAATTGCTGCTTTACTACAAAGGGACCTGGCTAGCATCACTGGCTTGGATATCTCCATTTAGTCAGAGCAATCTCACCTCCTAATATTCTATTCCAAAGAAAGCAGGCTCCGGGGGATCATAGGCATTAAGCCAACCCTGCAATACGAAGGGGTCATTTTAAAGAGTCCTGAAAATAAAAAACATGGACTAGAAGATCATTGCTTTCTCTCTCTATCAGCCTCATGGGACTTCCCACATCCACTAAGGTACACTCTCACTACAGTTACCATTTACTATTACTTCAATTGCAGTTCTTTAAAGTTGTGATTGTTCAGTTGATGTGACTAATAAGACACCAGGGAGATATTATAACAGTACTTTTTAGATACTCCACACTTTGCCTGATTTGAAACCAAGGAGTACTGCTGCTCTTTAAGGAACATCCACTAAGGATGGCTACAGGGAGCTTTAAGATAGAGCAGCTGCTGCTGTCTCTTCCCTGTGACTGCTCAGTGCAAGAACAGACTGCTTCCCCTAGTCCTTCTTCCCTCTTCCTACAACACTTTTTCTCCCTTCCTCCCCTTACTCTGCACATCACTAAGAACATTGTAGCAGTTAGCAGCACTGCAATATTACCATTTAATGAAGGAATCTCACATGTGTCTATTGACAGGACAAAAGGCAATGGGTACAAACCAAAACACACAAAATTTTATCTGAATGTCAGAAAAAACTATGAAGGTGGTTAAAGACTGAGATAGGTTGCCCAGAGCAGTTGTGGAGTCTCCTTTCCTGTGGGTATTCAAAAGTCATCTGGACATGGCCCTGGGCAACCTGCTCTTGCTGACTCTGCTTGAGCACAAGGGCTGGACTAGACAACCTCAAAAAGCCTCTTCTACCCTCAGCAATTCTGTGGTTCTGTCTCTGCTACTGGAATGAACACAAACCTGCCTAGGTACACACACAGAATTTTTAAGAACCAAGTTCTCAAACCAGACAAACTGCTGCAACTTCAGTTAACGAGAGACTGGAGTCTAGCCCTAAAAAAAATAAAAGGCATCTGGCTGCAGAGGCTTCTAAGAATATTAGACTGGCATAAATTCTAAACATCCATGACTATGTAGCAGTTAGACAAGTTAACTAGTTGGATATTAAAAATCTGATGCAGATAAGAAGTCTGAACTTACCAAAGACTTAGGCAGCTGTATGTCCTTTTTCCATAGTTTCTTGCAGCCCCAATACAACATTACCAATACGCTCAGGCTCGCAGCAACAACAGACAGAATGATGACATGCTGTGTACCTAGGAAGTTAAAGGAAAAATCTTCTAGGAAGTTTGAAAAAACTAGCCACTGCTGTATCATTTAGAATAACTTCAGAAATTGTAATAGCTCAGAATACTTTGCTGTAATGTGTGAATTTTTCTTTTCAATTTTTTCAAGAAAACTTAATTGATAAAACTTTTATCGAGTAAGTAAAAATTAGAATGACAGAAGATTTTCAATTTATATAAACATAATCACGTTTTCATAGAAATAAAGGAATTTTTTAACTAATCTTTTGTTCTTTATAGATGACAGAAGGGGGTGAAGAGATTTGTACATTTTCCATGTGGCAGCAGATTAACTGACTTAATTACACATAGTTTATGTACAATAAAAGTAAAACGAATTGTTAACTATTACTAGTAAGACTCCACTAATCTGACTCTCATTAATGCTCTTCTCCCTCACTCATATTGCTGCTCTTGTGCATACAAGAAAAACACAACTGCTTCTATCAATTTTATCTCTTTTCTCTACTGAAATTTCAGGCCAAAATGAAGTAACATTAAAAGATTTGTAAGAGGTTATCAGAGATATAAAGTCAAGTCACTAGCTGCCTTTGTTCTCTTTGAGAAAAAGACATCAATACCTCAATTTCACGGCCACAAGTCTACAGCTGCTTCAAACTCAAAGTTTAGATACATTTTCCTCAGCAAAGAGACTGAGCAAAAAGACATTTGCTAGAAGAGACAATGCTTCTGCAAACCACATAACTCAGTGAATGATCCACTTGTGATTTGTTAATTACACCAGTGATCCGGTGCAATGTAAACAGGTTTTGTGGTATCAATGAATCAGGAAAAGCACCCCGAGAAAAGTCAGAGTTACTTGAAAATAATACATGATCTTTAAAAGTCTATAAAATTGTCAAAGTGCATTCGGAAAAGAATGACCACACTTTCCATTTTTTCTATTCTCCCATAGGCATCCCATGGCTATATCACAGCTTGAATAGTTGCTAGATCAGATTTCTGGTCAGATTCAGTATGTTCCTACTATAGTTTTAGAATCATCTTACTCAATGTCTGCTTGGAAGGAACATGAATGCAGCTTTCTTCTGATAGGTTGCTAGCCTTTAGTTCGTCAAAAATTCCCTGTGCTGAAACACAGTACGTGGAAGGATTATCAGGAACTGGGATGTCAAAGCTACATTCATATGGTGTACAGGTGTTTTTATAGATCTCTTCATTCTGAAAAAGACAGAAGTCACATTATATTATTTGTCCCAATAGAACAATACATTACAGTACCATCCAACACTTCCAAAAATCTTGAAACTCTATTAGATGTGTTTCTTACGTCACCTAATACTCCTTGCAAAAGCTGTGTGAACTTCAGCTATCAGCTTATTGGCCACCTTAAGCTGTTATATTTAATCAGACCATTCTGTTTCTCAGCTAAAATTTGTGCTGTTCATAGTCTAGATTCACATTCCTAATTCACTTATAAAACTTGCATGTGGATGCATATAAAAAGGTAATTGTAAGTAAACATATCTACTGTCTTTTTCCTCAAGTTCACCCTCTATGACAGTTAAACAAACTGGTATCAATACCTTGAAAGGCAATCATAATTTTCATCATTAAATGAAAGATCTATCTGGACAAGTGAAAGGGGCATAAGTAAAATTACCAATGTTTTCATATGTATGCAGAAACAATAGCATGGGATCTTGTGTACAGCTAATGCAATGATCTCATTTTTGTTACATGACATTCATTTGGACAGCTAAAACCCAGACCTTTCAGTCACATATCTTACTGTGATGCACTCAACATTTTAGAACTTCAACTGTTTTCTCAGTATCTGTTGGCTCTGAGTGTCGTAAGAGTGAATCCCTTGTTTATGCATTTAAGGTAAAAAAGTGATTTGAATTTGAAGTCTTATTTTTAGAACTTACCTCATTTTTTTTGTACCGTAAAGTCACATTGTACGTGAGCCTTGAATAAATGTCTTCAACACAAGAATGAGGGAATAAAGGATTGTAAATATTAATGATGATTTCATCACCATGCCTTGAGAGACTCAGTTTTGGTGGCAGTATTTTTCCTGCAACACATTGCACCACTGCTATTAGGCCAAAGCTTTTAACATAAAATAAGCTATTTATAGTTAGCTTTCCAAAATTCATCAGAGATTTGAGAATAAATAGATATTCAGAAACCACAGTGTCAAGGCTAACAAATACTACAGAAGTTCCTACTAAACAATCATCATGCTTCATTTCATCCTGGACTTCTCGCTTTAAGATATTCCCAAATGTGACACAGTAATACAGCAAAAAGGATAATTACTAGCTTTCTGAATTTGGGGGGAAAATTACAAGGTTTAATTTATGATGCGACTTACCGTGACTGTGCCAAACAAACTCATTTGACTCAGCATATTCAGACTCTTGTGACCCAGCAACAGCTTTAACTCGAAACCAGTGAGGTGAATAGGGATCACATATTTCCCCTGAGAGATCACAGAAAAGAGCTGAAGTGTTCACACAAGTTGAGATGGTCTTATATTTACCTAAACTGTAAAACAGATCAAGTAATAGTTAATACAATTTCAATTGTACAATACTGTACAATACACTGCCTGTAACAACTGTGAGGGTGACCAGTTACTGGCACAGGCTGTCCAGGGAGGTTGGGGAATCTCCTTCCCTGGAGATAATCAAAGTCATCTATACATGGTCCTGGGCAACCTGCTTGAGCAAGGGCGTTGGACCTGATGACCTCCAGAGGTCCCTGCCAACCTCAAGCATGCTGTTACTTGACAAATTTTGCCTAATTTACACTTGGGCAACCTTCACCCTACATGACTTCACCATATAGAAACAAAAGAATTTACCATGGACTGACTGCTTTCATGCTTCTAGAAAATATTGGGTAAAGAAAATGACAAAAGAATAAGAACTTACTTGTAAGGCTTGATTTCCACAGTAAAACGAGGAGTTTCAGACACATGTGGGTATTCCCAAAGCAAAAGAGTTCTGAAATTTTCAGATGTTACTACAATTTTCGTTGGTGAAGGCACTGGAAGAAAAGAACAACTGCACTTTGATAAACAGACTTACTCAAACACAAGAACAGCCAAGTATATTTCTAAATTATTTGGAACAGGCAACACAAAAAGCTGACATATTGTTCTACTCTCCAACAGAGACAGCTTTCGTCATGTTTGCAACCCAGAACCTCAAATAACCCATGCCCATTGAAAGCAAGTCCATCAGATAGCCATTATCAGGTTCATAAGCTGTGATGATTATACCCTTATGTTGGTATTTTACAGATGTATCAGCAAGACAGTATGAATTTACACAAGTTAGAGGAGATTAGCCTAGATCCTCTAGATTTCTCTTGCTCTTCAAAAATTGAATTAAGAGAGATTAAGGGGGAGGTGGAGGTGGGAGATGGTTCCAAAGCTGGAGTATGAAGGCCAAAATACAACAGGCCTGCTGGGGAAAGCCCAAATTCAATATAAATTTCTAACAATGACACTTTGCCATTCCAGCATTATTTTAGAAAGCTGAGATGACAAAAATATACTAACATTTGTAAAAAATTTGAACATTGAAGCTAAAATGTAGTTCCACATACAGGAAAACATTTGAAGTACACTTAGTAAACAACATCAGAGGTAATGTAGTAAAGCAATACAAAAATTAAAAGCAGCACTGACAGTTCCCTTGTGTAGCAAGCATCTGTTCTATGCACCAACAGCGACAGGGATATCAAGGGAACAGCTGCAGGGGAAGGAAAATTACAGGATTCCGTAACTACTGAAGGCTGCTGCATGACACTCAGGAGGAGAAAAGAAATTAAGGTCACTTGACAATTTTAACTGTTACTTCTTAGCTTCTCAGTGTTTGGTTTGGCATCCTTAATATTCTCAATATAGCTCTTCTGAAATGTTGACAAGTAACTTGTATTTGACCTGCTCTAGGCTGCTGCTTGTTTGCAAAGCACATGGTACAACTTCACTCTGAGAAAAATTCAAGGAAAGTAAACAATTTTCACATCTTGAGAACAAGACCACAAAGACAACATTTTACCAAAAGTAATACAGAGAGCCTGAGATATGCACTTAACCATGAAGGTTTGATCCATGCAACACAGATCACTCTGCAAATGGTTGTGTGGTTTATGTTCCAGTATGTACAAAAGTAGTATTTCAGCTACTGGAAATAAAAGGAACACCATCAAATTCACAACCACAAGGAAAAAAAGGTGACAAGTTGACAAAGAGGTGTCAAGCACACAAATGTGTCAAAGCACAAAAACCTTACTTCATATGTGTAGTTTTAAGGCATGGTGTAGTTAGCCTCACAAAATTTAACTTTTGTATACTATTATACAAATAAAACTGCTTAACAAAAGAGTGGAAAATGAAATCTGAGAATATATTTAAGCTGCTAGTAGAAGCTACATAGCTTTTAGTTGTGCTATGTACTATAAATATCCATTTATACCTTCTCTGAGTTATTGTGATAAATATATTGAGGTTGCTTTATTAGTAAGATAGTTGCAATCTCATGGAACTACTTGCTGTAATACAGAATTCGTGAGCTCACGGCAACAGACTGCACTAAATTACTTAACAGAGGACACTTCTCCAAAGTTTAGACATTTATGTTCTAACCAGCAGCCTGACTGCAGGCAGTGATTTATCCTCAGATGCTCAGCCCTCAACTGGAGGCTGCTGGGGTGCTGAAGATGGTGGCTGTGTGGCTGTAACATATCACTGCTTTCTCCTCTCTCGTTATTCCTCCCACTCACACAGTTTTATTTTGTACACAGAATTTCAACTTATACTTTAAGAGATCAAAATTCAAGTTACTCAGAGAGCTTTCTAGCAGTGTCCCCCGGGAATCTGCTTCTGAGAGCTTAGGGGTCCATGAGTGCTGACTGGCTTTTAAGAACTACCTTTTAGCAGCACAGAAGCAGGTCATCCCACAGTGCTGTAAGTCAACCAAACAGGGCAGACCAGCTTGGCTGAACAGGGAAGCCCTTGCAGAGATCAGGAGAAAAAAGATTGTATCATGTCTGGAAGCAGGATGAGGCTTTGCAGGAAGATTACAGAGCAAGCCAAGGTTCCCAAGGAAAAGACACAAAAAGGCAAAATTGAACTAGAGTTGAAACTGGCCAGTGCTGTTTCAGATAACAAGGGCAAGTGGAGGTCTAAGGAGCACATTGGACCAGTATGTGTTGAAGAGGGTCACCCAACTAATAGGGATTCAGAAAAAGCAGAAGCATTTAATGGGGGTTTGTTTGCTTGTCTTTAATAATACTGACAGGCTGTGGAATGCTTGGTCCTCAGACTCAGAAGACCCCAAGTCCAGGAAGAGTGACTTAGCATTCATGGAACTGAAATTGTAGGGTACCAGTTTGTCAGCTGAATGTTGACAATGCCACGGGGCCCGATGGGATTGAACCCAGAGGACTGAAGGAGGCAGCAGATGTTACAGTAGGACCCCTCAATCATCTGCCAAAGGTCTGGGGAGGTCCCCACTCACCGGAAAATAGCCACTATTCCAATCTGCAGGAAGGGCATGAGGAAAGACCCAGGAAACTAGACCTGTTAGTCTAGCCTCAGCACCTGCAAAAATTACGGAGCAGATCATACTGGTGCTATTGAAAGACATCTAAAGGACAACACAAGCAGTCTACAGGGGTTCAGAAAGTGCAAGTCCTGTTTAACTTAGTATCTTTCTATGATAAAGTCACCTCCTTAATGGATGAAGTGAAAGCAGCGAATGTACTTGTTCTGGATTTTAGTAAGGCTTTTGATACTGTCCCTCACCACATTCTGAACAAGTTGTCTAACTGTGGAATGTGCAGGTTCACAATGCACAGAGTGAAGAACTGGCAGAAGGGCAAAGGTCAAAGGGTTGCAGTGAATGAGGCTGCACCTGGCTGGTGCCCTGTAGTGTTCCTTGGGGCTCAATTTTAGGGCCTGTTCTGTTCAATATTTTTACCAATGATCTGGATTAAGGAGTTCAATGCACCTTTGGCAAATCTGCCAATGATACTGAACTGGGAGGTGCTCGCGGCATGAGACGCCTTGCAGAGACATCTAAACAAATGCTCACAGCCCCTTTAGTCAGGCTGGCTATTTGACTTCTAATGGTTTCTCCTCCAGCCAGCCTGGAACCCAAGGCTTGGGACACCTCAGCCTCATGTAACTCCAGCACCAAGACTCCAGACCACAGAGAACATTGCAGATTTTCAAAGTGCTAATGTCTAATATTCATAGATGCTATTCTTTCATATTGACAGTCAAAAATGCCCTAATACTTTATGTGAGCACCGTTTTACTTAACCCATGATGAAGCATTTATTTTTTAAACATTTAAAACCCTGTTCTGTGTTAAGCAGGAACAACTGGAAGATGATGATAGCAGCTAGTGCCACAAAGGTAATTGTTAAACATAAAACTCATTTATAATAAACATAAATACAGCAACACCCAAGGTGCAAATTCAAAGAGTGAGAAAGTAAGCATGGAAAAGGTGAGAAGAAAACCAATCAGCACTTCATGTCATAATGCATGATACAAGACACTTAACAAGTTCTAGTTTCCCTCCAGTTCAACTGCAGTGATTTCCTTCCACACATCACCCTGTCTTGTAAGACAGCAATACTAGCTGACAGGAAGCCAATAGATGTCAGCAAGACTATTTTTTTCCCACAGAAATGGAAATGTGTATGTGCACTGTAAAACAACATAAAAAAGCTTCAGACAGCAGCTCTACATCAACAGGAGAAAGGAATGAAGGCAAAGGTAGGCTAGCCAGATTTACATTTTTTAAAGTATACTAAAAGAAATTAAACACACCTGGATTTTGAGGATACAGAACTGGAATGCTGGAAAGCAAAGGCAGGAGTGAGGGAGGGGTAAAAGCAAAGACAAGCATGATCACAGGGTGACCTAGAACTTGAGCATTTAATAGAGAACAGATGTGGGAATGCAACCACACAGTTTATCTCAGCAAACTCACACCTGCATCAGTTTATAACTTGGACAGAAATGTATCTATTTGTCCATATACAAACAACTCAGACTATTGCTGCTATATTGGTGGCAAAGACCTCAGCAGGTGCGACTACTGTGGTGTGTGTGTACATATATAATCAAACATCTTCTCAATGTAAAAGTATCCTAACTAATGTATTTAAGATTTGGTAGACATTTTTGTCTTCAGCAAACTTGGGTAGCAGACAGGAAGAAATACAATGGGAGCAAATTATAAGACAAATGCCACTGAAAGACTTTTGTTTTGCTGTAGGCATCTGCTGCTGCTGTTTGATTTCAGGCTGCTAAGAAATAAGGGGGATGTTGCATTGGTTTTTTTCAAAGTAACAATATATGATGCAGTTCTGCCTCAAATACATCTGTTACCAGGCCAGAAAATGCTTGCTTTTATCTACAAGAGTCACTTGTGAAGAACAAGTGCAACTTGTCCTGTTTTACACTTTCACCTCCCCAAGTCAAAACCACCACACTGCATGTCTCACAAATTTCAGCAGTGTCAAGACATATGTAAATCAAGTAAGATTTATACACTAGCTTGAAACTAGACTATCCTGTTCACTATATAAGCACTCATGAACAGTACTACCCATGGAAAATACTTGTGAAATACAAGTTTAAAGCAGCCATATATTCAATAAAACCTACTTTTAAAGCATATACAGACAAGCTTAATATGTTATATATGTAGATGCCCTACTTGTTCACTGAGCTTCAGCAATGCATCGCCCAACAGCAAAATTTAATTCAATGAACTGGACATTTCAGAGATGGAAAACTGAGACAGTCTTTAAACTGATGTTTATATCTCGTGCAACACCAAAGTTCCTTCTCTCATTTTGGCAGAGGCCATGAGGCATTACTCTATACACAGAAGCATTTGTCACCACTGCTCACGTCAGTGGAATTTAAACTGGAAGAGCAATGAGGAACTTAGCAGAATAGGGCCTGGTGAGACCACAACACAGACTTTATGGTACAGCTGAGACAACAGTGACCCTAA